GCAGTTCCAGTGCGTTCTGGTTGCAGAAAAAAAAAGTACAACATGCTGCATTTTTGTTGCACTGAACTGTACTGGAACATGGTAAAAATGCATCAAAAACACACTAGAACACACATGTCCCTATTTAAATTGAAGAAAAAGAGAGGGGGAAATCTGGAATGCATAAAAAATGCACTGGAACGCATCAAAAACACATCAAAAATGCACTAAACACGTCAAAAACATACATGCAATAATGAAACACATCTGAACTGCATTTCTATAGTGTGCACTGGCCATAAGGGCTAGTTCACACTAGATGCAGTCAAGTGCGCTTTTTTTCTGCATCAAAAATGCATGCACAGTGTTTTCCGTGTATTCCAATGGCTCTAGTTCCCACCAGTGCAGTCAGTTCCAGTCAGTTTTTGATTCCGAAAAAAAAAATAGAACATGCTGCATTTTTTTCTGCACAGAACCGTACCGGAACATGGCAAACTGCATAAAAACTGCACCGGAACTGCGTGTGGTGTGACCTGTAAGCAAAAGCGTATCCGGAGTGCATTTTTGTAGCGTAAACTGGCCCTTACACAGCTCTATCACATAGCACAGCCCTGTCTGGCAGGGAAGGAGAGCTCATTTTTGTTTGCTGCAGATTAGTAATACTAAGGCCCATTTCACACCAAGGGTCTGATCAGGTCCGCCTGTCCATGCTTCAGGTGCCCCTGTTCACCCCTATGGACTGATGCGTGTAAATGGACTTGTGTCTATTTATACCTGCCTACCTCCAATCTGATCCAGTCCACTTAAAAAAAAAAAAAAAATTAAAGTGGATCCGTTTAGGCAGATTGGATTGGAGGGCAGTGGGGTGGAAACAGATAGTGGAGTTCATTTATACCCGCCAGTCCATAGGGCAAAACAAGCTGTATCTGTGTTTAATTTCATGGATTTTGGATTACTTTACTACACTTTTTTCATGGACTGTCCATCACTTTTTATGTTTGTTATTGCTTTTTACAGTAATCACGGACTATTTATAAATTTGCGTTATCACTATTGAGTTTTTATGGGTATTTACAATATATTTTTTAATTATTATAATTTTTCATCATTCTATTCATCACTGATTATTCATTCAGCGCCACTTTAAACTCTTTATTAATTTGGTGTTTTAATTTTTAAACTTTTTGGGGTTTATATATAGTGGCAGCTTCTTTATATATAAGTTGAATTTGGCACGATATAATGGATGTTGATTACATTATCACATTTATTTTATATAAATATGTTTCTGTATCAGCTCTGCAGAAACAAAGCGGACACAGACCTGTCATCCACCCGCTCTGCTCCGATCAGCAGGGGATCAGAGGACAGATCCCTTGCTGATCATAACGAAGTCCACCCCAAGTCAAAGGGGTCTTACAAGTCTTGTCTCTCCCCCAGCCCGTAAGTGGGCAGTGAAAGGAAAAGACTAAAGAGCTCATCTCTGCTCTCTCCTCCTATCAGCATGCTATGTACACTGCTGTGCAATTAATCTGTTCCTTGTGCTGCTTCACCCTCCCTTATTTTGAGATCTGCTGTACAGTGACTACAAAAAGGACTGATAGCAAGATCATTTCAGATACTTCTATTGCCTTCATTTAAGAAATACACTTAATGACGTATTAAAAACAAGAGCTCCTATACATCTGTCCGCAGTTCAGCTTTAAATTTAGAAGGAATAATTACATGCCTACAAGGCATTTGGCAGGCATATGGGAAACCGCAATCGGATTTCATCATACCAGAAAAAAAAAAAAAAGGTGTATATATCACCATCAGAGGGTGCAATTAATTAGGGTAGTGATTGTTTATGTTATTGGGTTTTCTATTTTCACTGGGCATCAAACCGCACACTGCCAAAATCTGGGCTGACTTTGAACAACCAACAGCTGTTTAAAACTATCTGTCGCCTCTCTTAGGGTAAAGGCTTGTTCAATTTATTTACACACTTTCTGTGCTAATTGGTGTATCCTGTGTCCAGCAAGCTGTGATGTGATGGAGAGAAGGAACAAGAGGTGACTCGTTTGGGTAACTGATCCCAAACGTGTTTTGTTTATGTCTGTTGGCACAGCTAGTACTGTTGAGTCCTAGGAAAAAAAAAAAAAAACCCTAAAAGCGTTTGGTAGAGCAGAGAGGCCTCCCCCCCCCCCCCCCCCCCCCCAGAACGTGAAGGGAACAAGAGGACCAACAGAGAGCCTTTCTTCCTAGCTCTTATACGGCGTTCTTTCTTCTATCACACCGGCGATAAATTCTGAATATGATCTGCTATCTCACCCCGGACCAGTCCAAACACACCTCTCAACTTTTTGGGAAATAGATTTTATCACTTTGTATTAGTAATAATATTAAATGATTCTAGACTTGTGATAGAAACCTAATGCCTTAGACAGAATTTAATCTGCGACACAATATTTACATATGTGACACAATTTACTCTAACATTAAAGAGGTCTTAAAGTGTTACTAAATCCACAACAGTAAAATCAGTCTGTATATGCAGTAAAGCATGCTTGTTATACTCACTGTAGAACCTAAGGGGTTAATCCTCTGGATTTTGTAAAAAGGCCCTTTGATGCTGACTTCCCTGCTCCTCCTCTTGTTCAAATGTCCAGGTCTCATCTCCTGATAAGACAGACTGAACCACAGCCATTCTGCACATGCTCAGTTTAGTGTGTATTGCTAGAGAGGGTTTTTTTCTCCCTGGGAGAGTGCATGTGATCAGTACAGAGCCAATCAGCACTGTCCAGATAGAGGTAAGGGGTTTTGCATCCTCCTAGAGCAGAATGAAAACTCTTCCTACAAGCTTTAACTAGTGCTCTGCTGAAGTCACAAGACTGCTCTAACTGCTGATGAGAAAAGGTATTTAGCAGTTTATATTTCTAAAATAATTGCACTTCCATGTTGTGTGTCCTGTGGGAGACCAGATATACTGAATGCAGGGTCCTGGGTTTAGTAACACCTTAATGGATTTGTTGCAGCCATAGCGCCAGAATGTAAAAGTATCACACAGAACTTATTGCATGCATTGGAAAAATGTTCAGCAATTTTCAAGAATTTTGCACTGGAGTTAATAATACGGCCATAACGTTACTGACATTAATTTTATAACCAGTCTTCAATATTAAGGAATATTGCAAATAAGAATACACCAACTTTCATTTTCTAATCTGTTCTGGAACCCTCTCAGATGGAATAGGATTGGTTTTAATGGGTAATATGTTTATTTTTAGTTTTAATAAATCAGGCATTAAACGGCTACAAAATTTTAGATTTTTTCAAAAATTTAAATAACAAACATGTTCCACTTATCTGCTCTGTGCAATGGAATTGCACAGAGTAGCCCCAATCCTCCTCTTCTGTGGTCCCCCAGCTCCTCCTCATCAGCAAGTACCCCCCTATAAAGCCACTTTCTATGGGGGTGCTCGCAACTTATCTGCAGTGTCTGCATCTATGGACACAGGCAGCACAGCTCAAACTCGTCCCCTGCTCCCTCGTCACAGAATATGATTGACAGCAGTGGGAGCCAATGGCTCCCACTGCTATCAATCTGCCCATTGAGAAGGGAGAGAGCACAGGGCCAATGCTCTCATGCACATCGATGGATCGAGAACAGGCTCAGGTAAGTAAAAGGCATGGCTGGGGGGGGGGGGGGTCCTCTGGCACAAAAGGTTTTTCACCTTAATGCACAGAATGCATTAAGGTACAAAACCTTCAGCCTTTATAAACACTTTAAGGTTTCAGGTAAATATATGGGAACAAGCTAGTAATGCATCCTAACCACGCTGTACGTTTTTTCCTTCCAATACACAGACCTTGCAAGGCTGTGTTTTATTGTAGCCAGTTGAAGATCAAGTCTCATATCATTAAAGCATAATGAGGAAAGTTGTTGGTGAAGCTAATGACTGATCAAAACTATCAAATGATCCCCTAAACTAAATAAAGCATGACCCCGACCACTTCTTAGGTGTGTTTCGGCTTTAGGCGAAGTACTGCTGGAGGTACAGTTGGCTATCCAGGACTTCAGGCACAGAGGTTTCAAATGTACACAAAACTATTGCATATTTTTACAAATTGAAAGTCAACTGGATTTGCAAGAGATAGACTATCAGACAAAATCTGCCTAATAAGTACCCCCTCTGTTCTTAAAAGATCTTTCCCTTCAGCTATTTTAAGGTGAGAATATATAAATATTATGAGCTGCGCATTTGGGATTTGCAAATGAAATCTTTTCAATAAGTATTTTTTACGTATCAGATAGCAGGAAAAAATTATATTCTGATTTGAAGTCCACAGAGGCTTTGCTCCTTGGTTTCATACTGCCTAGTGATGTGCTTGAAGAGAGGTAAAAAGAACAAGTCTCAAGCTTTTCAAATGTGTGTCATGGTTGTTTTCTAGCCGAGTTCTCATACTGCTATGTGAATGTGTATCTAAGGCTGGGTTGAAGGATCTTCAGATTCTCCCTGTGCCATCTCTCCCCATGGAGTGCCTGTCAGAGTGTGGCACCATTCAGACTTTGAAAGTCTGTCACAATCTGAACATTGCAAGTACGGACTGTCCTGGAGGGTGAAGACACTACCCGTGGATAATAAACAAAATGATGAGCAGCGACATTTGCATATTTAAATAAGGATTTTCTTCTTGCCTATTAAAATAATAAGCATCAGGAGATTTTCACACGGTCCAAGCAGTGGGCTGCTAAATATTTCGGCTTGTTCAAATGGCAGTTATCTGCGGGTACACCACTATCAGTTATGTACCGCCTGTGCGATGAATAAGACTGACTCATTATTGATGGAGTGAGGACATGATTAATAACGAGCACTAGTTAGGCAATGGTGGGTTCCAAACTCTTAAGTCTTTCTATCAAGATAAAATCTCCAGTATTAGAATAAAGCTGTACACATCCATATCACTATATTCTGTATGCATATAAAAACAAAACAAACAATCACTTATATCTGCCTAACACAAAGAGCACTTACCAGCTTGGTTGGTTGTCACAGTCACTGACACAGATTGATCTGGACTTGGGTTTTGTTTGGACACGCCATTCACTGCCCAGATCTCGAAGGTGTAGTTGGTATGAGCTTGCAGGTCGGTGATGGATACTTTGGTTGTCTTCAAGCCATTCTGCTGGGGTGTATAATGAACTCCAGAGCCACATGGCCGACAGCGAGTTAGATCAGCACCACATCTTTTACAGACCACATTGTAAGAAACATCTGTCCTTCCGCCATTGTTCTGCGGAGCAGTCCACTCCAAATTCACAGAGGTTTCATTGACATTGGAAATCAGGTTCTGAGGAGCTGATGGTGGACCTGTTAACAAAAATGAATATATAATGTAAAAAAAAAAAAGCAATAAAAAAAGATACTTCTATATCTTTTTTTTCTACAGAAGATAGTTAAAACAAAAAACAAACCGTAAGCTCCAACTACAGTAATATTCGCTTCAAAACAATTCACATTTTTGTCACTGCCTTCATAGCTTCCAAAGTACTGTCCGGATACTTCCCAAGCTAGACATAGAATAATCCATAGATTATAGGTAGACTTTGAAGTGATCCCTAGGTCTATTAATACTATTAGTGTACACGGCACAAAAAATATTTTCAGCACTGAAGATATATGGTCAAGGTTTTCTGTTCTGTAAGTATGAACATGCAAGCTTGGCAAGTCAAGCATGCATGTTTACAATGTTATCCGCATCTAATTAAAATCTGTGTGCATGTCTCATGGTCACCAAGGTCTATTGCTATCCTAGGTCCACTGAACACAAATATTTCAGTTTATGCAGTCAGATTCAGTCACCCACCTGATTCTATTTCTAGTCAAGACTATTGAAAGTAAGTCTAGTTACTTGATGCTGAGGTCCTTGGGAGAAAAAAAAAAAGGTGCCAGTGAGTAATTCAATCCACTAGTGTCCACCAAAAACTGAAAAAAAAACACTTTTGGGTGAACTTGGCCTTTAAACACGTGGCTTCCTTCACCACTGCACTGGTTTCCATTCTCGACAACACGTAGCCTGTGAGGGCACCTTTCCAAACGGCTATGTCCACTTTCACGTGGGAAAATATGCCACATTGAATCAAGATCTTCAGAAAGCAAAAAGTCAGTAATTGGTATGTGGGACGAGGCCCAGGCAGCTTCTGAACACATGAGCAGCCAAGCGGAAAACTAGGCACGCAGATGCTGGCAGGTCTGAAGAGGGAGATGGGTCAGAGGAAGGCCCCCACCCTCTCCTCCAACATGAATGGAGATGGTATACGGAGAGTAGCGGGTGACAGTTGAACACAACATGAAGGAGAGGGCAGGCATACGCCGATAAAAATCTTGACGTTATCAGCAAGGATGATAGGAAATAAAGGTGCCAAGCTTGACAGGTTGGTTTAAGCCCAACTGTGCAGGGCAGATATCTGTTTCACATCTGAATGTTCTACAAGCAAAGCCAAACTCAAGCCTCACTAAACAGAAATCAGAGTACTCCAGATTAAATTTCAACTGAACACATTTATATCATTTATGAAATTCATTTTTATTTTATTAATAAGGTGTTTGGAATTCACACAATGAACATTTTAAGTAAAAGTATCCCAGAATCATCTTTATGTGTTTTTTTAAATCTAAGTTCTGATACGTGGAACAGGAAGTAATTTTCAATGAATACACTCTAGAGTGTTTTATCCAACAATACTCATTGCTCTAGGCGGACTTGCTCCTCTTAATAGTAATAACCCCCACTTTTTTGTGCCTCAGTAAAAAATGAATCTAAGGTCACCTATTTATTGGCAGAGACCATCCAAACCAATGCTTCTGGTAAATTAAAACAGATTTTAGGATCTCCGATTCTCAGCCTGCTCAGATTCCTATTCACATACTAATCACATCAAGACCTCAGCTGACCTTGCCATTTCTCACTGAGTGACCTTGAATGCTTGCGTTCTTTCAATGAGAATAGAAGCATCTTTGGGGTTTTGCCTGTTCCAACCCTACATCCATCCACAGATCCCATTGTACGTGCATCTTTGTTTTGTTTACCATCAATACTAAGCTCACATTTTGTTTTCATTAAGCTGGGCAATTTTCTCAAGAAGACTCTGACGCAGCCCATTAAATTACAGTTTTCGGTTTTCCTGGCTGGGCGAGTTTAGACTAGAGAGGGTGTGTGTGTGTGTTGAAGGCTCAGATTAGTTGCAAGAGGAGACACAGACAGGGAGAAGCCTAGCTAGGGGTTTTCCTATTATTATTACTATTGTTTTTATGCAATTTTTTTTTGATTGGAGAGGTGTTGACAAGTGCTGGTTTGGTGACAAGGACACTCCCTGGGCAAAATTATTAATTTCTCTTTCATAATGAGAACAAAAAACCAAAGCAAGCATTTCAGGATCTAAAGCTTCATTAATTTGTTGTGGTTAAGGTGTAAAATAATGAAAGGCCAAGTTCTAAAATTTATTTTTAATTGCCAATCATTTTTTTTTTTTAATGGAAACTGATAATTGTATGTTGTCAGGGCAGAGTGCTCACAACTTTGGATTTTTTAAATGTATTTATTACAGGTGTTTATATAGTGCTATCAATTTACAGTACACAGCACTTTATCTACCGTATTTTCGGGCGTATAAGGCGACTGGGTATATAAGACGACCCCCTAATTTTCCAGTTAAAACATAGGATTTGGCCTATACTCGCCGTATAAGACTACCCCCCCCCCCCCCCCTTCCGAGGCAACACCATTTAAAAACATCAGATTTTTTAATTGAAATGGTTATGACTTACCGGTACTTAAAATCCTTCAAAATCCTCATGTTCATCCTCTGACATCATAAGTTCATGAATGACATCTTGTGATACATTTGTAAGACAGTCATCATATGGATCAAATGGTTACCGCTGGATGTGCGGTAATACGGTAGCTTCGTCTACATACAGTATACAGTATATATACAGCCCGCTGGATGTGCAGTAATGTACATACAGTATACCGCGCTGAGCCAAGCTGGCTCAAAACAACTGTCCCTATGACAGATTAATCGGTCAGCCCGCTGGATGTGTGGTATATACAGTATACTGAGTATATACCACTGTGGTATATACACAGTATACTGAGCCAAGCTGTTTCAAAACGTACCGGTACGTCCCTACGGTAGTCAGACCGCTGGATGCGTGTATGTACGGTAGCTGAGGCTACATACAGTATACACTGGGCCAATCACGGCGAGCGATGTATTCTACTAATGAATACAAAGCCTGCTCGGATTGGCTGAGGTTGTGACATCATCAGCCTACCTCTCTGACTCAGCCAATCCGAGTAGGCTTTGTATTCATTAGTAGAATACATCACTCGCCGTGATTGGCCCAGTGTATACTGTATGTAGCCACAGCTACCGTACATACACGCATCCAGCTTGACCCAAACAAACTCAAGGTTCACATTTTATACCCCGCGTATAAGACGACCCCAAGTTTTTGGGGTATATTTTTAAGTATAAAAAGTAGTCTTATACGCCAGAAAATACTGTATATATTGTACATTCACATCAGCTCCTGCCTACAATCTAAGGTTCCTAACTCACATTCATACACACATATACTAGGACCAACATAGACATGAGCCCATTAAACTACCAGCATGTCTTTGGAGTGTGGGAGGAAGCTGAAGTACCCGAAGGAAACCCACACAGGCACAGGGGAAACATGCAAACTCCAGGCAGGCAGTGCCATGGTTGGGATTCAAACCGATGACCCTAGTGCTGCTAGGCAGACGTGCTAACCACTGTGCTTTTGCATGTTGTTTTGTGCCATAGCATATATGAAATGGATATAACGTTTTGATTTTCTGAATTCTGTAATGTGTAATAAGCTTAATCCACTGATGATCAATGAAATTCAAGACAAAACCTATACAAAAGAAAAAGTATGCCTAAAGCTGAACTACAAGGAAAAAAAGAATTGAAGCTCAGTGTAGCTGCTGGTTTTGCCTTCGGGATGATTAACAGAGTGATATACTTATTGCTCTCACCTTCAGGAACCAGCGTTCTCCTTCATGGTGCAACATTCTGGACACCCATGGCATCCTCCTGAACAATATAGGACTGCTTGTCCTGCATTGTACAGGGTGACTTCAGAGAGCTGTGAGCAGAGGACCACAGGACCGGTCACATGAGGATGAGGAAGACTGAAGAGAGTGGGAGAGAAGGTAAGTATATCACCATATTCATCATCCTCTAGGCAAAACGAGCACTTAACCCTTGCAGTGGGGAGGGGGACCCATTGTAAGAATTAATATTTTTTTCCTCAGAGGTCAGTTATTTAGAATATGATATGTTAGACAGATAACGTACCTAAACATATCAGGCTTATTTAATAATGTAGTAAGCAAAGTAAGGGATACAGTAACCCACAGCAACCAATCAGCAAACACCTTTATTGATCTGCCTGCCTAAACTGATCTATCATCGGCTGATCAACGCTTGGACACTTTTCATAACATCACTGTTCGATGTCTTATTAAAAAAGCTTGCGTGTCTTCCTTGCCTCCATATAGTCAATAATAGCGTGCTTTCGCGGAGGCTTGGGCAACCTGGGGTGTGGATAAAACACTTTAAATTATCCAGTAAGATTTACAAGCTGGTAAATTAACATTTGGACATGGGTGACTGAGAAGGATTCATCACTCAGTGCAGCCTGCATTAAGCAGAGCCGAGACGGGTTTCTGTCTTCGTTTCCAAGTATGCCAAGAGAAAGGCAGGAAAGTAGCTGCCGATTGATAAATAAAGTAGCAGTGTGTGACAGTTGTAAAAACAAGATCCCCACTCTCCCTCTTCAGATAATAACTTCAGCTGGCATGTCCCAAGTATAGGAAGTGAGGAATGACCCTAAATGGAAGACGATGCGCCCAGGCTGGCTCTTCCGCACATTAGACACACACGTGCAACCTGCAGCTTTAGTTGTCTAAAACAACTAGGAGGTCAAGCTTCGTTGTCTTTAAAATAGTTGTTTTTATGCTCCTGCCATACGTTTATTTACTGTGTGTTTTACTACATTGCTGGACAAGTCTAGAAGCTAGGTGGCCAAGCCCTATAAAAGTTTAATGCTTGTGCCCTTTGAAGAAACTATTTTAAAATGTATCTAATCAACTACTTATGATATCTGCCATGGATCTACAAGGAGACCTCTCTGGTATGGTTTTCTGAATTATTATAAATTACCATACCTTTATCTCATTAAAAAAAACTAATACAACAGCCAAAACGGCTAACTCATAAAAGCATTGTGGACCAATGCAACAAATGTGGTGACATTTTAACGTAATCTTTGCATACAATAAAGAACAAAGAATGGAAACTGGAGTATCTGAATGAGTAAATTTGATTAGTCGATGAGAAAACATCTTCCAGCATGCTGGTAAATTTCCTATATTTGACACCCCACGATGATAAAACAGAACTGCAAGAGCAAACACAGGTACATGTATGAGCTGAAATCTATCGTTTTGAAATCTAAAATGGTAAAGGATCATGCAGGTCAAGTAGGAACAAACCTCAGCATTTATACAAGCCTTTCTCAACCTTTCCAACACAGAGAAACCTTGAAATAACTTTCAGGTCTCAGGAGACCCATGCTAAAAATGACTATCTACAGCTCATGATACATTAGTGTGATGGTCAGTGGGAAGAATGCTCCTTACATTTGGGGTCATTGGGAAGAATTACTCCCTTATAGATAGCTACATAAATAAATTACATCAGTGGAAACCTACCTGAGAGGCAGAAATTACTCAAGGAACCCCTAGCAACCTCTGGAGGAACACTGGAGTTCCATGGAACCCTAGATGGGAAATCCTGATCTATACAGTGCCTTGCTATTGCTAGCCAAATGAGTCCATCAGAGAGTACAACACCCTTTGGTAGTTCTACAAATTGCCTTATTACATTAGGCAGTGCAAAGCACAATGACGACATTCAAAATAAAGAAAGCCATAGCAACCCGGATTCAGTTTAGGTAATTTTTATACAAAAGATGATTTATCATTGGTTGCTGCAATGGAATACTGCACTTAAAACACCATTCTTTGCCCTACTAAAAAAATGTCCAAAAATTTTCTCAAACCTCACACCTAAGAAGCATAAATAATGAGGACAATCCTCAATCGAGAGTTCCTCAAGAATAGAAGAGCAGCAAGTGTTTTTGAAGATTGCAGACATCCTATACAAAGAATTTATGGAGGACTGGTATGCAGTTCAAGGCATTACAACCTACAATTAATCCACCATTCCCTAGAGGCTCTCAGGGTTCTCTACAATACTGAAGTGCAATTCCTAATACAATTGTGGAAGGCTAAACTTTTACAAAGGGGATTCCTATTAAACCAATGACACCATAAACTCTATGGGTCAGAATAGCTCACAAAGAAGCAGCTGGTTCTTTCGGCTTAAATTACGAAGTGTTGCTTATGCCTTGAGAACTCTGGGAACCTCAGACAGATGTGCCAGCAGTCTACTGCCAAGCTAATTAATTGTGTCCATCCGCACAAGTGGTGATGAGATGCACTCAAGGTGATGACAGAAAGGCCCCTACTGTAGACGATCTGCAGTAATAACTGGATCAAGACGTGCAGAAATCCCTCTCGGTTTGGTCGGATTACATACTACCTGATCATACGCTACCCAACATAAATAAACTGCAAATAAATGTTTCCAGTAAGGAATATTTTAGGAATGGTTGTTCTCTAGGCGGCTCTGCCTATGACTATGCAAAACCATGATGCCTCATGGGAAATGTAGTTCCACAACAGCTAGAGAGCCGCAGGTTGCCTACCCCTGTTCTAAATGCAAAACCATGAAGCTATAAATTTGCAGTGTAGTGCTTAAATAAAATCTATTCTACTGTATATAGTAATTCTTACATCCAAAATTATTTTACTTTTGTTGAAGGAATTAGTTCTATAAATTGAACATAATTAAATATTTAACACTGAATATTAAGCCGTCCATAGATGACTCAATTTTCTTTCCTTCCACCACGAGTGGAAAGAAAGATAATCGCTCAATTCCCCCAACAATACAGTCAGTGTTGATGGGGAAATGCCTCTTGGAGTGCTATTGTGTTCTGCCGGCAGGAGGTTGCGGGGAGTCCTCCCAGCTGACACAATGATTACTTCTAGCGGCTATAGCTGCCGGCAGTAATCGAATGTTAAAAAAATCAGCCAGGCTGGTTGTACCCAAGTCAATGGATCAACTGTTACCTGCAGAACCGGCCAAATTTCAATCCATGTATGGCCAGCTTTAAACCCAACACTAAACATGTAATATATTGCAGCTTTCCAAACATTAGATGTGATAACTGCATTAGTTTCTTCTTTTAGGCTTTTTCCCTTCTGTGTTCACCTGGTGATCCAGCTAGTAACACACCTCCTGTATTCAATTGCCTACACACAGGATGAAGGTACAACAGAGGTCAATGGGCAACAGCATTGGCAGTCTGGGGCAAAGGGAGTATTAGATGTACTAGCAGATTAAGATACACTAACAAACTGAAGCCAAACCCCCACTAACACTTTATAGGCAGGTACAGCAACAGTTTTTTCCCATTGGGATAAAAGTTTTACAACAATAAATCAAAGTGGATTATTGTAAGCACCCCTGTCAGTGTTAAATGGTCTTAACAATCTAACTGCTACATCTGCAGGACAGCGTGTTCTGTTGAAAAACAACAGCAGACGCACTGGCCAGATCACCAGGTGAAAATAAAAGAATGAAAGCCTAGATAAGAAAACTAATGCACCCATCACATCTAATAATTGGTAATAGGCAATGTAATAAATGTTTGCTTTTGGGTTTAATATCGCTTTAATTGTAATTTTATATGTCATATATATGCCTCAAATATCTACATTTCATCAAAACACTGCAAATAAGGAGATATTTCACATTTTAATGAAAAGAAAAGGAAAGACAGACAAATCAAATAGCTGGCAGGTACCTTAAATGAGAGGGTGGTGCTAATGAGAACAACGTGAAGGAGAAGTAGGAGCCAGCTGTTAATATTTAGGCACATCGGCTGCTCATGAGAAATGTGTTTTATAGTAAAACACATTAAATTTGTTGAATTTAGCTATATGAAATACTCATTTCCCTCTGTTAGCTTTTGAAAAAGGAAACCTTCTCTATATCTGTAGTATGCAAGTTATTCCTCAGCATTTTTAAAAGTTCCCCTTTGTGTCATAACGCTGGTACATAAAATACATCATCTTGCGCACACATAAAACTTCACGGCCAGTTACACTCTCCTGCCCAATCCACACTACAAGCAGAAGCACTAAGCTTTGTTTCACCGCTAACCACCATCCTCGCCTAGGATTTTGCTGCAGCCCTTTCTGAATCAGTGATGCAGGCACCCCTGGAGAAAATGCCAGCCATTGCAGATTCCTTGATAATTGCTTTTGTGCTGTTCTGTACGTGCTTCTGAGACAGTGAAAAGAGAAATTCAGATGAAGGTTAAAAAGCGAAAGGAATGGCAAAAAGATGAGAGTTTAGGGTAATACAGCCTTAACTCTTCCCCTGCTGGAAGGGATGCGGATTCCTGCACTGCAGATACTTCCAGCAGTGAAGAAATATCGTCTGCACGGATGAATCCCGCTGAGAGACGCTCACCGCACAGAAGCCAGCAAGAAATGCTCGCTTTCATTCTTGACCTTGGGATGGAGTGAAGGTTGCCCGGGTTTCTCAATCTGCCCTTACATTTCAACAAGCTGGCTCCCGGCGGCAGCAGCGGAATTCACAGGCAGGTTCCACCAGTCATTTCATTAGAGTTCATTACGCGGATAACTGTCAAGACGCATTAGAGGAAGCCACCGAGATTAATAGGGTGCAATGGCCAGTTAAAAACAATATCATTTCTTGAAGAAGCAACAGACTGAACTTCAAATCTTATTATTCAAAAGGAAAAAAAAAAATATGACGGGAAGAACTCCATCAATGGCTGGAGCCTGCTGATGATGGATTTACTGACCTAGCACACAATAAAGAACAAAGAAACCATGGCACACTGCTAGCATACAGCTTTCATAATATTAACAGACTCAATCATTTCTGAAAGCTAGGAAAATAATGAAAATTATTAATATTTTTTCTGCTCCCTCTAATCTAGGTCTCCTTAGGCTCAGTACAATCTCCTCAGTACCATTCATGTCCCCTAGTATGAATGAGGCCACTTAGGCTACGGAAGTGACTACAATGCAATCAACATAAAAAGTGATGTCAATTACATAAACAATAACTGTTTTAATGATACATAGTAGTCATACAGTGATCTATATTTTGGGCATTTATGAACATTTCATGGCTGTGCTTTGTCGTCATTATATATAAAAGTATTGAGTGATTAAGCATAAGTACTCCTGAGAAAATGAGTCCGTAGCTTTGGCAGAATGAATCTGCTCCACATCAGTAGTCACCAACTCTAATCAATACCTAAATGCCCCATTAGACACACAGGCGTATTCCGTAATGCAGTGCAAAGTGCAATGATAATGTGCAAAGTGAAATAACACTTAATAGGCAGATTTCATATTTAAAGGAACCAATTACAGTAACTAAGATCTGATTGGTTGCATTGAGTTCCTACACTTTGCACACTGTCAGTTAACTTGTACTTATCAGTTACAGTCAACTACTATAGTGTAAAACCATAAAGGCATGCTATGAATGAAGACCTTATACAACTGGAGACTCAAGAAGAGACGCTAAGGTTTTCTTGTTATTGTAGTCCATAGCCAAACATTCCCAGACTCCAGAAACACAAAGTTTGAACTAGTAGGTATGACCTACAGGCAAGAGAATTCAGCTGCTGCAATCAAGCTCCGATACTGCCAACCCAGCAAAATACCTTCATAGCAATAATTCTGCTAAAATGAATATATCCATGGCATTTGCTTCACAAGACTGGAAAACAGCTGATAGGACAATGACTGTCCTTATACTGAGCCCAAGTGAAGGGGTCAGCAGGGCTGTGGGAACCATGTAGCTGTGCTCAGATTAGTGCAACATAAACCCACAGAGCACAACGGGTGATACCTACAGCAATACCCCTGTGCTTGTGACAGCTGCTGTCAAGTATCTGTTATATTTTCATAGGGGGAGTATGAATTCTACTGTAGAAAGAAGACAGAAGACAAATACCAAAATGACACAACAAACTGATTCCACACAGGATGACTTCACTCTCACTTTCCCTAAAATAAAAGGTGAAAAACAGCATGGGACTTACGAGTGCAAGGCATGGAGGCGGGGTCACTGTCGGCTCGAAAATAGCCCCTATCACAGGTGCAGGAGGTGGAACCTTCACGAAGAGCAAAGCTGTGCGGAGGACACTTGGAACATGTCGCATCTGATGACAGGGCCTTGTAATATCCCGCTTTGCAGGCTGTGGAAGAGATATTCAAAAGGTGAGTTTAACGAAATAGGTGTAAAAAGGAAAAAAAAAACAACATAAAAAGTCAAGTAAATGGAATACTGCAGGCAAAAAACAAAACTACCCTTACCGTGGCCCCACCCTTCCTGCACTGCACATTAAAGAATATTTACTCCAACATTTCATATTCCTGATATGTGCCTGCTGTACCATGTACGTGTATGAAAAAGTATCCTGTTTGCTTTGAATTGCTTCCTTTGAGTGAAATCCCAGGTGTTCCTGCCAGCCTGCTTTCCTATTAATAACTGACCACACTAAGTAGGAGAACACGCTGTGGTCAGTTCACTAGCTGTGCTGGAAACTTATTCTGCTCTCCTCCAATAATCAGACGTGCCCTGACATGTACGGGCCCCCACAGCCATTAACTTGTAAGACCAGTGTGCTGCTGTTTCTCCTCCCCTACCCTCTCTTTACAGCTGAAAATAGAAGGTGATGAGAGAGGATGTGATCACTTACGAAAAGGGGGGAGGGGTAGGTATTTATAATGTTTTTATATTTATACACAAATGCTTGCCTTTCATTTTAAACTGAATAGGTTGTTTTACAAGGGGAGGGTTTACAATCACTAGAGGTAGAAGGATAAGGAATAAACACCTTATTTCTTGCTCTGACATTCTTTCTTCATACTGTGCAACCAGTCCTCTGAAGCATCTTCTTTAAAACGCTCCAGCTTGTGGTTGCACACTGACGTCATAAAGTACAATGCAGGACCAATAATCCTCCTATGTCTAGACAGAAAGGATCTGCCAAAAATTTTGATTGTCAAAAAGAAGACGCTGTGGTCAGTTCTCTAGCTGTGCTGGAAACTGCTCTCCTCCAATAATCAGACGTGTCCTGACACATGCCCCCCCTACGGCCATTAACCGGTAAGACCGGTGTGCTGCTGTTTCTCCTCCCCCACCCTCTCTTTACAGCTGAAAATAGAAGGTGATGAGAGAGGATGTGATCACTTATGAAAAGGGGGGAGGGGAAGGTATTTATAATGTTTTTATATTCATACACAAATGCTTGCCTTTCATTTTAAACTGAATGGGTTGTTTTACAAGGGGAGGGCTTACAATCACTTTAAGTCTAGAGGTAGAATGATAAGGAATAAACAGCCTATTTCTTGCTCTGGCATTCTTTCTTCATGCTGTGCAACCAGTCCTCTGAAGCATCTTGTGGTTGCACACTGACGTCATAAAGTACAATGCAGGACCAATAATCCCGCACTGTATGTCTAGACAAAAAGGATCTGCCAAGAAATGTGATTGTCAAAGAGAAGAGGAGAAAGCTGGAGCCTGACAGAGCAAGGAAAAAGGTAAGCATCACACCTTATTCCACTACCCCAAAGACTTACCAAGATTTAACACTTGTTTAGTGCGGGGAAAGCCCACTGCATGGGCAGTTTTTCTATTATTTTTTCAACTTTACGTGAATGTGTGACCTTCACCTAGCTGTGCTATTACATGAGTACATTTTGGACAGATCTGTTGTGCTATTACATGAGTACATTATGGACAGATCTCTTGTGCTATTACATGAGTACATTATGGACAGATCTGTTGTGCTATTACATGAGTACATTATGGACAGATCTGTTGTGCTATTACATGAGTACATTATGGACAGATCTGTTGTGCTATTACATGAGTACATTATGGACAGATCTGTTGTGCTATTACATGAGTACATTATGGACAGATCTGTTGTGCTATTACATGAGTACATTATGGACAGATCTGTTGTGCTATTACATGAGTACATTATGGACAGATCTGTTGTGCTATTACATGAGTACATTATGGACAGATCTGTTGTGCTATTACATGAGTACATTATGGACAGATCTGTTGTGCTATTACATGAGTACATTATGGACAGATCTGTTGTGCTATTACATGAGTACATTATGGACAGATCTGTTGTGCTATTACATGAGTACATTATGGACAGATCTGTTGTGCTATTACATGAGTACATTTTGGACAGATCTGTTGTGCTATTACATGAGTACATTATGGACAGATCTGTTGTGCTATTACATGAATACATTTTGGACAGATCTTGGTAAAAGAAAAAAAAAAAAAAAAAAAGGAGATGTATTACTCCTAATGTGCCACTGCCAAACAGTATCTGACTGGTGCTTGTGGGCAACATACCCACAGTATGTTCCTCTGCTTATAATACATGAGCCTCAGTATCACTTTGTATACAAGTCTGCTGGAATTTTGAATTAATTCTCGCAGTACGTCTGGTGTGCATGGCAATGTCTATTGTTTATCTGCGTTGCCCCCTGGAAAAGGGCAGGGTCCCTTCATCCAGAACATGCACGGTACATTGCTTGGTACATTGCTTAGTGCTTGATGACTTAGGTGTTTGATTTGCTTCTCTTGAAAACTGACCCATGGGAGAAATTGATAAGAGTCAAAAACCACAGCTTGGCAGACAGATAGGCTTGGGTCAGGCCCCTATCCCCACATCAAACACAACCTCAGTCCCCCTGCATGCAGAATACCAACTCACTGGAAAGAGCCTGTCATTCAACCGTCACAGATAAACAAAGACAGCTTGTGTACAGCCAGCGACTGTATGCAAGAAGTCCTCACTTTTCTCCTTTGGACTTGACAACATTTTAAATACGGCTGAATGAACACAGTCAGGCTCTGTATTTACTGCTGCATTGCATGTTCAGGAAGAACAAAATGGCCCCCGTGAAATCTTCGATTCGAGCACGGTAGCACACCATTTCTGTCTGCAGAAGCCGATAGGTAGACAAAACGTGGTCATAAATTGTATATAAATTAAATAAAAGGTTAGTCTGCGTGATAACGGAGTGCAGTTACAGAAGTGGGTATAATGGCAGGACAGGCTACAGAAGATCAAAAAGCCAAAACTTTTTTTTCCATTTTGGATAGAGAATTATTAAAACCAATGTTAACCATGTGCATCCCAGATGGGAAACAGGGAACTGGAATAAGTGTACTAAATGAAAGATTTATGCTATATTCCCCTTTTTTTATGCCAACACAAACTTTAGTGAACGGATACTGTATGTATGCAGAGGACATAAGCATGCCAGTAAGGGAGAAAAATCTCAGTGGAGGATGAATGCACAGGGGTCCACACAACATCAATGAGCCTGCCTGAGGGGGTAATGTACTGGGGAGAAGAGCCAAGGCCAGATGCCACCATGCTACATACTCCAGAATTGGAATTTCATAGAAAAGTGACAGCCAGTCAAAGAGAAGGTTAGCTGGGGTCCTCCAAACTCTCATTCCATAACAGGGTGCTTCACAACTACTCTTGACGTCTCAACTCCACCAACTGAGGTATGGCTCCCGATACAAGCAAAGATAACTGTTGGCTGCCATTGCTGAACCCCTTCTGAAAATGCAGGTTGTCTAGCTGTCATGCTGGTGTTTTGTCCTCAATAGTTTGTGAGTCATTGACCCTGAAGAAGTATGGAAATAAGGAATTCTGGGTATTCTCCAGATTTCATCATATGCTGCATGCTTGTCCTGGGTCAGTGACTGAGAAGTACTGAAGGCAGGGATAGCTAGGCAGCTAACAAAGAAGTCAACAATGGCAACCTACATATTTTTGTGTGATGCGTAAATTAAAATTTCTTCCTGAGCTTTCTATTCCATGGAGAAAGACTCATATATTAATGAAATAGTCTGTAGGATACAAACGACTGCAATGGATAATCAAGGCATTTCATCCAATAACCTACTATCTTCAGTTTAAAGTGTTGAGAAAGCACACTGAGGTGGCTTTCTCTCGATGGATCAACTTTAGTACAACTAGTCATCCATAGATGGATCGAATCTTGGCCAGTTCAGCAGGGACCAGCCAAGATTTGATCCATCTATGGGCAGGCTGGTTGTACTGAAATTGACCCATCAATCAACTTCAGTATAACCAGCATGTCAGATTGTTTTTGCATGAGATCACTGCTGGTAGCTATAACCAGCAGTGATCATTGTATTCTGCCGGCAGAAAAGGCTCCCTGCTGGCAGACCCCAATAGTGCCCCCTAACTATTGATGGGGGAATCAAGCAGTTTTCTTTCCTTCCAGTGTTGGAAGGAGAAAAAAATTCTATCATTTATGGCTTGCTTAAGATATTGAGTTGTAAGCTCCAAGGAGCAGGGCCCTCCTAACCCTCTTTTATTAAACTGTATCGTTGCTGTATTGTCTCCCTTTATATTCTAAATCGCTGAGTAAACTGTCGGCGCTATATAAATACTGTATAATAATAATAATAATAATAATTGAGCCTATGGTATGAACAGCATTAATGGAGGTTTAATGAACTAATGAAAAAAGAAAGACCTAAGACCCTAGTGCATGGAAATCAAACTAGTTTTCTAGGATAACTACCGTATTTTTCGCCGTATAAGACGCACCTGACCATAAGACGCACCTAGGTTTTAGAGGCAGAAAACAGGAAAAAAAAAATTCTGAACTAATGGACTGCAGACACAGTACAGGAGATGACCAGAGACTGCGGACAGCACAGGGATGACCAGAGACTGCGGACAGCACAGGGATGACCAGAGACTGCGGACAGCACAGGGATGACCAGAGACTGCGGACAGCACAGGGATTACCAGAGACTGCGGACAGCACAGGGATGACCAGAGACTGCGGACAGCACAGGGATGACCAGAGACTGCGGACAGCACAGGGATGACCAGAGACTGCGGACAGCACAGGGATGACCAGAGACTGTGGACAGTACAGATGACTGCTGACCTTTGGGAAGGTGGGGAGCGGGTACCTGAATTTGACAGGTACCCGCTCTTACTTCCGCAGAGTTTTTGTTTGATCTTACCTGTTCCTCGATCCAGCCGCGCGCTGTCTTCCCGGCTTCTGTAATGGCGCTCGGCATGACAGCCGGGTGCCCAGTGCGCATGAGCGAGAAGCACTTGCGCTTTGTGATTGGTCCGGTGGCTTCTGGGATCTGTCAT